ATATCTCACTGGCTAAAAGCAAGAAAGGTCTTTAAGTGAAGAGATCCCTTTTAATAAATTTCAAAAACGTTCTATTTCTCACATGTGATTTGCACATGGCCTAATAGCTGATTAAATATTAGGCACCCTTAAATCTGACAATTTATATTTATTGACTTAACTTTTCTCTAAGCCTACTTCAATCATTATTTAATATTATCATAATAAAACCTTATAATATAATTTGGTGAACTAGAAACCAATTATCTCCTGGAGGGGGAAAGGAAAAAAGTGACTGAGATTCCAACTGATGGAGGAAGTGCCCTGTTGATATAAGCCTCCAGAAAAATATTCCCCCAAATCAAGAAAAACACATTCAAATTAATATGGACAACAATTATTGCTGACAGAATTTTAGCTATCTTCTTGGTGTGAAGTAACAGCTCTAAGGTTCTGCTTTTGACGAATTCCAGCGCAGGCTAAAGATGGTTTCGGGTGTGATTTTGAATTCAATTTAAACACCAGATTAGATTACAATTTATCTAATTGAATTTGGCTCCAGATATTACCAAGGGCAAAGACACAACAAGAAAAATGACCCCAAAACTGCACAAATATTTTTTATCACCAGAAATTTACAGTAAAATTATATTAACCAAATTCTGACAAGTAGCTTAGCAGATTTTAAAAGTAACCCCCTTTCCTATCCTCACTCCCAACCCTGACTCAGCTCTGGGAACTGCCATCTTCTGGCACTTATTTAAAAATAACAATTTTAGGCCAGTCAAATTACTTTTATGAGATTACAGACAGATCTACACTTGATTAATACCATTTTTAGTGGCTAGCATGAGTAAATACACCTTTCTTTTTACCCTCAGCTCAATGTATTCAAGATATTTTCTTCATAGAGTAAAAACTCAAAAGCTTTTTGGCCGGGTGTGAGGCCCTATAATCTCAGCCCCTTGGGAGGCCAAGGCCAGTGAATCATTTAAGACCAGGAGTAGGAGACTAGCCTGGGCAACATGGAGAGACTCCCATCTCCACAAAAAAAAAGAAAAAACTCAGCCCGGTGTTGTGGCCCCTGCCTGTGGTCCAGAATACTCTTTGGAGGATCACCTGAGCCCAGGAGGTTGAGGCTGCAATGAGTAGTGATTGCACCACTGCACTGCAGCCTGGAAGACAGAGTGAGACCATATCTCAAAAATAAATAAATCTTTTTTTTTTTTTTTTTTTTTAAAGAGACGGGGTCTGGCTATGTTGCCCAGGCTGGAGTGCAGTCGCACGATCTCGGCTCACTGCAACCTCTGCTGCCCCGGTTCAAGTGTTTCTTGTGCCTCAATCTCCCGAGTAGCTGGGATTACAGGCACTTGCAACCATGCCTAATTTTTTTTTTTTTTAATTTTTAGTAGACACGGGGTTTCTCCATGTTGGCCCCAAACTCCTGACCTCAGGTGATCTGCCCGCCTTGGCCTCCCAAAGTGCTGGGATTGCAGGCATGAACCATCATGCCCAGCCAAAATAAACATTTCTTGTATCCAAAAACAAGATGTGGTAACTGGAAAAATGGATCCAGCCCTGATAAACAGGGGAGGGAAGTCCCATGGTGACAGCACTGTAGCAGACTCACACAGTAATCAATTTGTAATGAAATCAATTTGTATACAGGCTTCTGGGATGTCAAGTTCTAGAACAAAAGAGGTTATAATATATTAAAGAATACAATTGGGAATTTGGGAAAAAAAGAAAGATAGTAGAAAATGCAAGAAAACAGAAAAAAAGGCAGCTAGAAACTCCAGGAAAAACAAAAAACTAAACAAGGATACTACAGTCCACAGAATAACTGTCCAAATTAGAGCCACAGCATTCAAGAAGAATGAAATGAATCCTAAAGAAAACATACATTCTTTCTATCAATAACCAGCCAAAAAAAAAAAAAAAGCAATCAGAAACTCTGGGAAAGGTGAGGCACAGTGGCTCATGACTATAATCCTAGCACTTTGGGAAGCCAAGGCAGGTGGATCACTTGAGCCCAAAAGTTCAGGACCAGCCTAGTCAACATGGTGAGACCTCATCACAATTAAAACAAAAAAAAACTCTAGGAAAATCATACTAAATAAGAAAGTCATAGCTCAAGTTTGTAGCAAACTAAAATATATAATGAATTTAAGAAACTGATAAGAACACAAGACTATTTTCAAAATACATTGATAAATTTGAGAAGTATAGTGTCGTATTGTTGAAACTTATACTACCCTGCACTGCAATGAATTTTGTTTACCCTTTTTTTGTTTTTTTATAGAGATGGGGTTTCACCATGTTGGTCAGGTTGGTCTCAAACTCCTGACCTCAGGTGATCCACCCACCTTGGCCTCCCAAAGTGCTGGGATTACAGGCGTGAGCCCCCGCATCTGGCCTTGTTTACTGGTTTGAAAAATTTTTTCAGCTGGGTGCAGTGGCTGACGCCTGTAATCCCAGCACTTTGGGAGGCCAAGACGGGTGGATCACAAGGTCGGGAGTTCAAGACCAGCCTGGCCAAGATGGTGAAACCCCGTCTCTACTAAAAATATAAAAATTAGCCAGGTGTGGTGGCACACACCTGTAACACCAGCTACTTAGAAGGCTGAGCCAGAAAATTGCTTGAACCTGGGAGGTGGAGGTTGCAGTGAGCCGAGATTGTGCCACTGCACTCCAGTCTGGGAGACAGAGTGAGACTACATCTCAAAAAAAAATTTTTTTTTTTTGAACAGGAGTGTTTCTATTAAAATCTAAGGTCACTTCACTCCTCTGCTCAAAATCTTCCAATGGCTTCCATTACACTTAAAATCAAAGTAAAGTTCTTGGCTGGGCACAGTGGCTCACACCTGTAATCCCAGCACTTTCGGAGGTCGAGGCAGCAGGATCACCTGAGGTCAGGAGTTCAAGACCAACCTGACTAACATGGCGAAACCCCATTTCTACTAAAAATGCAAAAAATAAGCTGGGCATGGTGGCATGTGCCTGTAATCCCAGCTACTCAGGAGGTTGAAGCAGGAGAATTGCTTGAACCCAGGAGGTGGAGGTTGTAGTGAACCAAGATTGTGCCATCGCACTCCAGCTTGGGCAACAAGATTGAAATTCCATCTCAAAAAATGAAAATAAAAAGTTCTTATGTTTGAAATGGGGTCTTGCTCTGTTACCCAAGCTGAACTGCAGTGTTGCAATCATGACTCACTGTAGCCTCGACTTTGGAGGATCTCGCGATCCTCCCACCTCAGTCCCTGGAGCAGCTGGGACCACAGGCATGCCCTACCA